CTTCCCAGAATGGTGACTGATCTCCCAAATGTTTGTCTCACTGGGACACTGAGAAATGATGGCAAGACTGCAGTGTTTTGCCTTCCATGTGTGTGTGTTGTATGATTTATATATAGATTTTTAAATACGTCCGGTTAACAAAAATGAGTCCTTTTTATTCTCACATAAGAGCAAGTTAATAAATAGTTTAAAAATACCATTCTCTGTGTAAGGAGGCCTGAGGATGTCCAGCTCTGGCAAATATGCTTGCTCATCAAACGGCTCAAAGCCCAGCCTTCTTTTCCAAGAAGAGCAATGCTACATTCAGCTGACAATGGTATCTGCAGGAGGAGACAAGCCACTATCTTTCCTAGGCAGTGTTTTCCCTGAATGTCCGCTTATCTCAGGAATGTGCAGCAGTGTCGACATTTCCCTGTACTTTTCACAGAGCACACTGCAAAATCAAATTGCTTGAGTACAGCTCCGTGTGTTAAACTTAAAACAAAAACAAACAAACAAAAAACACCAGCTGGTTATTGTTCATCATGCTCGGTTATGAACCACTGTGCAGCTTTTAGGTAAAAATGCAGAATGAAAATTAAGAATATGTGAAACAGACCTCTAAATTCCCCCATGTAAAAATAAGCTCCCGAAAAGTCCCCAAAGACAATACATTCTTTTGCTTATATTAGCAAATGTGGAAAATTTATTCTACAGGAACCAGTAGTTAAATGAATGAAAACCATTATTTACTTTCCTTGTTTCAAGGTAAGACTTGAATAAATATAAGTTTGACTTTCATTTTAAAAAAACCACTAAAAAAAACAACCCCGCACGAGCACGCCAAAACAGCAGACAAGCTGCAATCTCAGCAGGAATCAAATAATTGCTACACTGGGATTACAAAACAATTTTACTGTTTTTACATCATGAGCCAGAGGGCTTCCAATCATGCTGAATCTTACCTGAATCATTACTCTCTGAATTAAGTCTAGCAGCAAAACAAGAAAAATATTTTTTCCAGAGTGCCTGCCAAAACCTTCAGTAACAGAAGACCAAAGCCTTCAAATCTGACACTAGAAGGAAGTCTGGCATGATTTTAGCTATCCAAGCATGGCTTATCAGTTTTATCTGTAACAATGAAGTCAACCATTTTCAATGGGGGGATAAGATAGATTCAAGGGTGAGAGACTGAGAGAAGAGCCTCCTGGAAGACCTAAAAAAGCAGATGGAGTTGGGTGACATCAGCACACTGGTGGTACCAGACCACAACATTCTCAACAGCCTCTTTCAGGTTTTCCATATATATGTGAAATAGTATGGAGAATTATGGAAACCTGAGACATTCTACAGGTCAAGGTGCTGAACAGGAGCCCACCACCACCACCACTACCATTCACAAAGTGAGACCACACAAAGGAAATTCCCAGAAACTGACTCCTTTTTCATCAGTTCACCACCTCTCACCCAAACACAAAGCAATTGTCAGAGTTTGAATGGCAGTGACCAAAGGAGAGTATCTTGTAAACCAGCGTTCCCCAATCCCCGGTCCGTGGCCCCGTGCCGGTCCGTGGTGTGGGCCAGGCTGGGCCGCCAAGAGGCCACCCGCCCTCTCACACACTCATCATTGCGCTGCCCGTTTGTGCCTGTGCAGGCACTCCAGCATACCTGCACGAGCGCCGCACTGCCATTTGCACATGTGCACGGGGGTGCAGGCCCACATGAGTGATTGCTGCCATTTGTGCATGTGCATGGGCACTCACGCACATATGCAAATGGCAGTGCACGCTCATGCGTGCCCTTGCATGTCCATGTGCATGAGCAAATGGCGGTGCGCTGCCCGTGTGGGCGGGCGGGTGCCCGTTCAAGAGAGCGAGCTCGCTTGTTCATGCATGTGCGCAAGGTGCCCCGCCTTCCCCAGCTGGTCCACAGACTGGAAAAGGTTGGGGAACACTGCTGTAGACCATCTTGACTGCTGCCATTGGTGTTGACAACGTTCAAGTTGCCCTTTCTTACATAAAGCTTGGCATCCTCTTTTCCTGTTGGCAAATCAGACATGATATTGTGCAGCAATACTGAGCCATTTCCTGGCTTTTTGAATCATGGGTACAGAAGCACTGTAGACCATCTTGGCTGCTGCCATTGGTGTTGACAACGTTCAAGTTGCCCTTTCTTACATAAAGCTTGGCATCCTCTTTTCCTGTTGGCAAATCAGACATGATATTGTGCAGCAATACTGAGCCATTTCCTGGCTTTTTGAATCATGGGTACAGAAGCACACTATCCCACATTCATAATCCGGACATTTTTTGAAGAACTGAATTTCCCACTTTTTAAAATGAGAGTTTAAATATATGCATGCTACCCACCCCTTCTCTTCCAGCCGGCAGCCGGCTGCCTTGTCCCTTCCCGGGCTGTGGAGGGGGAAGGGGGAAGAAAAAGACCCAGCGCTGCCGGGTGCTTGGCTCCTCCTCCCCCTTCAGCTCCTTCTCTTCCAGCCGGCAGCCGGCTGCCTTGTCCCTTCCCGGGCTGTGGAGGGGGAAGGGGGAAGAAAAAGACCCAGCGCTGCCGGGTGCTTGGCTCCTCCTCCCCCTTCACCTCCTCCTCTTCCTCTTCAAGCCGGCAACCGGCCGGCTTGTTCCTCCCAGGGCGGCAGCGGCGGCGGCAGGGAAAGGGAAAGGGCCTGGCGCTTGGCTCCCCCTCTCCTGCTTCTGGCTACTTTTGAAACGCCCGCTGGCCAGCTGGGGGAAAATGCCAGCTGATCGGCGGTTCCAAAATGGCGGCCCACTGTTTTCTGGACGGATTCCTCGCTTACCGAGGCGGCGAAAATGGCCGCCCCTATGGAGGATCTTCGCTGAACGGTGAGTTTTTGCCCCATAGGAACGAATTAAACAGGGTTTGATTCGTTCCTATGGGGTTTTTCTTTCCGTTTAGCGATGTTTTCGTACAGCGATGTTAATCCTGGAACGGATTAACGTCGCTATGCGGGGCACCACTGTAATTTAAACCCATCTTTCTCCTTTAAAAAGATCCAAGGTGGCTTGCGACAATTAAAAGACAGCATTTCAGATTATGAACAATGAGTGTCTAATACTAAACGGATCAATGAATACAGTACCAAAAAACATAAACAGACTGCTTGCAGAAGGACAGGAAAGATGGGGCCAGTCTAGGCCCCTGTGGGAGAGAGTTCCAGAATCTGAAGGAGGCAGTAGAGGGACTGGCAGGGTAGCAAACCTGGAGACATGGTTCTGTGTTCAACTGCTAACCTTACTTAGTAGAGCCACTAAATCAGTTTTTGAATTGGTTCAGCCAAACCTTATAAAAAATACTAAACTGGAATCAACTTGAAGTGACCCTAACCAGGCTTTCAAGGTAACTAAAATTTCTAAGTGGTTTTACTAGTTCCATGCCCCCAGTGAGTTTCCATGGCAGAACTGTGATTCAAACTCAGGCCTCTGCCCACTACATCACACCGGGTATCCAAAGAGGATATATTTCTGAGTAAAAGCCAAACATTAACTATGACGGAGGGGTCATTCTGGGAGTTTTAGGTCAAAGAAGTAATTTTCTCTAAGCTCTGCCCACAACACCCTATAATACAAGACTCTCCTTCACCATACCACATCTTTCTTTCATGCTGAAGGCCATGGCAGGGTTAAAAATGATAGACACCTGCTCTGTGGGCTGACTGGAGACACATCCTGATCAACCAGAATGCTATGCTATTCCTTCGGAATTCCTTCGGAATTCTCAGAAGTTATATTTCCGCATTGGAGTAAAGCAGTGGGTTTTTAAAAAATCACAACTCAAAGGTTCTTTGCCTAAATGTCCCCAAATTTAGCACAGAACAAGAACAGACTCTCTGATACATTCGTGCCAAATTTGGTGCTGATTCAAAGTCCAGTTTCCTAGCTACAATTTTTTGTTCGGGGCACTCTTTTTTAAATTTGCCTTACGAAATGTTGAATACTGCTAAGACACAATAAATTGATGCCCTGCTGGGCAGCAACAACACATAAGCCTCTACTAAGAATAAGCCAGTGTCTTCACATGCCCATCTGGCACCCAAACATGATCAACAGAAGGAAAAAGGGAGGGAGTGGGTTTCATGCACCTTTGCACAAGTGAAAACTATCTAGGTTCAATACTCAAAACACACTTAGAAACCGTGAACAAAAAGATAATTAATAGTCATCTCTTATCCCAATATGTGCAATTTGTTCTTGGAAGTATAACCGAAAAAAGTCAGCAGTTGAGTGTTTTATAGCAGAGGTTCCCCAACCCCCGGTCCACGGCCCAGTGCTGATCCGTGACCTGAGCCGGACTAGGCCACAGAGACAGACCTCACCCACCCACCCCTGCACGCACTCCCCCCGCACAGCCCATTTGCACCTGTGCGCACACGCCTGCGCCCACATGAGCACTCCCCCACCCTTTCGCACATGCACATGAGTGCCCCCTGAGTGCCATATCACCCTTTGCACATACACACAAGCATGCCTAAATGAGTGCTGCGCAACCCTTTGCGTATGCACACAAGCATGTGGGCACACACACGGGCGCCTCCCACTCCTTTGCTCATGCGCACGAGCAAGCAAGTGCCCGAGAGACAGTACACATTCCTTCGCGCAGGCACATGAGTGCAGAGGGGTACCCTTGCCTTCCCCAGCCAGTCCATGGGCTAAAAAGGTTGAGGACCATAGTTTCTGATGAAGAACATTAATTCTTTAGTTGTAGGTAAGATGATAAAATATTAATTCTTCAGTTATGGGTAGAGGTGGACACGAATCATGATTTGGCAGTTTGACGTGGTTTCCCACAGGTGTCCCATGGGTGTCAAATCTTCCCTTTCCATGTCCTCCAAGCGATCACCCACTCACCAGCCGCAGTGTGCTTCCCTGCTCTGCCTCCTCCAGGTGGTCACCCACTCAGAGGGAGGGAGGGAGGAAGGATGGAATAGAATTCAAGCCTTCATGTTCTAAACTGAAATAACACCAACAATACAGTAGTTTACTTACCTTTAAATTTTGATCTAATGTTTGCCAGTTCTTTGTTTATTCTTTTTATCTCAGCTTCTTTGCTCTTACCTGAAAGCAGAGAAAGAATCTGGTTCAGAGTGCAGCATTTTAAATAAGTTCTCTTCCCCAACCCAACCCAAAAAAACCATATGCACTGAACGAATCTTAAACTAAAATCCCAAAGAAATTTCACAAAGCAAGAAATATATTCTTTGGTACATAAACATTTTAGTTCTCACCCAACAAGTACCTAAAAACCCAAATATCTAGAGGCAAATATGAAGCAGATGAAGCATGGCAGCATGAGCCAAATTTGACAGAATACCATTATCAGTACTTAATGAACTGCCTGAACTGCCAAAGTATAGCTTTCATTTTAAAACTACAATGAGCATTTGCAATGTCTCATACACATATGTGGCATTGAGAACTGTTCATAAACTGCACTTAGCTGTTGCTTCCTAGTGTAGTTTCTTACCTTTAAAATTCTATATGATTAGTACTTAGGATACCTGATGTAATGCCCATCATCCACAGCAAGGCACACAGGGGTTTTACGGTTATTGTTGTTTTTCAGTTTCACTTCATTTCTGAACTCCCTCCCCAGGGAGGTCCACTATGCGCAAGCATCAATTTGTTATCCTTGGCTTTTAAAAAGTATTTCGTTCTTAATTTATTTACTTCATCATATTTGTATAAGCTACCTTGGAGTGATTCTGAAGGGCAATACATAAATCATTCCAACATACAAAGTAAATTATATGCTCAAACTTTAAACTGTACAGGAGTTGGTGCAATGTATCAGTTCAATGAACTGCAAATCTTTCATCTGTGTACTGGAAATAAGAGAGACTTCTCTTCTCAGTTGTTGGAAGAACGACCTAAATTGTATGTGAAGCTAATGGAGCACACAAGAACAATAAAGCACAATTACTACGTGTTATTCTTTAATACAGAGGTGGGTAGTTTCCACAGGCTCAAAGGCTGCACATAGCTATTCCTAGACCTTGGAATAGCGGCGGAACTCATTCCCACACTTGCCCACTCCAAAAATACTTTTCTTTCAAAAAAATAATCAAAATAATCAAAAAGCCCCTTGTGCCCTCTAATGACCAATGTTTTAAATTTACAAAATTATGGTGGTGGCGCTACAGGACGAAGATGCCAAATTTGCTTCCCACAGTCCTTAAAAGTTCAAGGGACTTTTGAACTTTAATTTCTGGGCTGTGTGAAGACTCAGGGACCCCCGGAGTGCTGGTAAACCACATGTAGTCAGTGAGGTACACTTGGCCTATCCTTCAGAACAATGGATTTGTTTTTTAAAAAATTAAATCAGATTTTTTTTTCCACAATCTAATTTTTTTTAAAAATATATATTTAAATAATCATTTAAATTGTGATTAAAAGCTTTAAAAAAGATTTTTATTCACCCTGTCTTTTGGGTAACATAAACTTCCCAAAATGACTGCTGACACAAGCATGTCATTTAAAAGCAAAAGGCTGGATATACTGGTAACTCTGAAAGAAGAAACACATTCACTTTGCAAGCATATCACAGTCCCTCTATCCACTTCATCCCCTGCAGCATTTTCACAAAGCTGTTCCTGAAAGTCAATCCTTGCTCCCTGGAAACACGACAGCAAATTGAATTTCAAAGAACTAAATGTTCCACCTTGTTTCAGTATGAACATGTTCTGCTAATACAATGTCACCACTGCAGAGAATGCAAAAACTTCTCTTTCAAAGTGCTGCTCTTCACGAGGAGGTTCTACATTCTAGCTAGAATGGACATGCTTAATTAGCAAAAGGCCACTAAGCTTTCTTCAATTAAATTGATAAGCTGAATCCACAAGTAGCTCCAAAAATGGTCTTGTTATTTAACCGAAACCAGAGAGAATTAAGGTCATTTGTGCCATTTCCCTCAACAGCTCTAACCATCTTGCTTATAGTTCCCCATATTATCAGGAAAAGGGAAGTAGAAAACGCTTACGCCAACAAGTGTTGTTTTCTACTCTGGACTGAAACACTGGCTTCAAACCCTGAACATTGTAAAAAAATGGCATATGCATTTCCTTGGAAAAGTCATTCAGATAAAGAGGAACATCCAGTAACCTTTTTTTCTACAGTGCTACTAGATTTAGCCAAGGCAGATACACAACTGGAAGCATTGTATTCACTGGCATAAAATGAGAGGGGGAAAACAGGAACATATTCCTCATTACCTGTTTTTTCTAAGCATTTACAATTATATAGACTAAATCTACAGCTAGACAGTATGAGAGAACTTTCTTTCTCTCCCACTGAAGCCCTCAGGGAATCTCGGAAAAGGGCTCCAGAAGATTTCCCAACCCTCCAAAACTGGGGTGCACAGGGAGTTGCAGTAGGGAAATGAAACCAACCTTCCCCAATTCTGTAGATAGAAGCAATTCCATCAGCAGATATACCCCACTGGATCCTGGCCTGTGTGCAGAATCTGTACAGACCCCTTGGTTTTGTGGGTTCTAAAAGGCATTTAATGCCCTCTCCTGCACACTTACTGTCATATCATTAATACAGCCAGTGCCCTGCTTCCCTCTCTACTGCAGAGCTGCGCTGGACAGGAGTTTGCTTCTCTGAGGGAGCATCTTGCTTTCAGACAACCTGCCCCCAGCTCGTTTTGGGAGTGCTCTCAAAGATGAATGATAGACAAAGGTGGCAGGCTGCGATAAATGCATGGGGATCCATTTCAATGGTCTTTGTCTGGATCCAAAATAACTCTTGGGACACCAAGGAGGCCATTCAGAAGACCAAAAGCAAAAGAATGCAAAACTGTCTTCAATGGAGTACAGCCACAGATCATCATGATCGCTGTTCACTGGTAATTGATCAGAGCCAGTAAGAATAAATCCAAGAAAATTTGGGTAGGCAAAACCAAAGTCTAAGATATGCTAGTCACTATATCATCCCCCTCCCCAAGCAGCAAAGGTTTGTTTTTTCAATGGAGTGCCCTACAGATTACTGCATCACAGAGCTTCAGATGTTTGAGACACATGGCTGATACCCCTTTAGCAAAATTAATGACCACTCACTTCAATTGGGTAAAAACTATACAGCTTACAATGCTGGCAAGATTATCTCTCCTTCTCTTTTAAAATGTATTTGCTTTTCCCCTCTTTCTCTCTTCCCCATGATTAACTTTATACTTTCAACGGCCTGGGAAGAAAAACACTATTTTTAGAGTTATAGTCAAGGCAAAAGCTATTCATAGCCATAAACCAGTTCATTTCTGGGTTAATCAAATACTATGATGGCTCAGAACATCAGTTTAAGATAAAGCTTCTATTGCTGGGCCTTCCATACATGAATCCACACTGCATTCTTCTGTCAGTTTCTGTTACAGTGCAGAATCACAACATGTTCCAAGAATTATATGTGAGTGTAGCTTAAGTCACAGACACGTTGTGCATGTCGTGGGTTAGTACAAAAACATGGCTCCAAGTTCAAAATTGAAAGGCCAAAGCAGGACTGACAGAACCCAAGCCAAATTTGATAAGGGGGTAAAAGAGTAAGTCCAAGCAACTTCAGCCCAGAAAGAATAAAAGAGGCCACTAGATGGTTTCCCAACAGATAAGTTTACTCTTCCTGCTCTGTGTACCAGGTCAAGGGTATCATTCAAGCAGGATCAAAGGAAGAAAACATGATGGCTGTTGAAACAGAATCAGCTTCTCAACACAGGTTGTTTAGTTAAATGAGAATTCTTGTCAATAACATAGTTGCATAACTCCTACAAAAATTCTCCAGTCTGACAGCATGTTAAGAAAAAGTGTTATACAATTTATTTTTATATCAGATTCCCAAACTTGGATCCCCAGATGTTCTTGGACTGCAACTCAGCACAGTTGTAGTTTTAATGTATTCGTGAAGGCTTTCATGGCCGGGATCTAATGGTTGTTGTGGGTTTTTCGGGCTCTTTGGCCATGTTTTGAAGGTTGTTTTTCCTGACGTTTCGCCAGTCTCTGTAGCTGGCATCTTCAGAAGACTGGAGTAGGAACTCTGTCCATGCTCTGTCAGTGTTTCTGAACAACCTTCAGAACACGGCCAAAGTGCCCGAAAACCCACAACAACCAGTTGTAGTTTTAGTCCAGGAACACCTGGGAGCCCAAGGCTGGGAACCACTGGTTTATATCCATTTCCTGTACTATTTTTCTGTATAAGCAGTTGCCAATATCAAGTTGTATATCAGCTTCATCATTTCACCATACTGGCAGGGCCAAAACTGTTCTGGCTATACTTTAGAGTTTATTTTAAGGAGAGAGAGAGAAATCAACTATATTACACCTGAGGTGCCATACATGGGAACCTTTCTGTCTGATCTCTGTTGTATAATCACTTCTCAAGACAACATGACCATCTATTTCTAACAACTTTGACAATGATTATATTAATTTTTCCCTAAGTTAAAAACCTCACAGAAGAGCTGGATTGGTTTCTGCATTGTTATAAGACCAAGTTGTCAATGCAGATAAATTTGGGTTGAAAGCTGTACCTTTTTAAATGTAGCTAGCTACCACATGCATATAGAAATAGATCCACTGAATGGAACCATAAAATAACAGAGTTATAGATATTTAGAATGTCATAGTGATGGGGGAATATTCAAATCCATCTTAAGCATAATTGCATTGGTTACCATCAAGGGCAGAGGCTGATGCCATTCCAGAATAATAATGCATATGTTTTTTGTAAAACTCTTGATGACAGACACAGCAATTATTACTCAAAACATATTGCTAAATTGCCAGTCATGCAAAAAATTGTGATGTAGACACAACATCTGAGTTAGTGACCATTTCTAAGCTGGCTTGTTTAATCAGATACTTCGACACATGACCAAACATAATGAAAGAAGGTGTAATTAAGTAGAAACCCACCATTCACAACCACATGTGCTTTCCTTCACAAGAGCTGCTAAGAAGAACTAATACAATTCTAAAAAAAAAATCTGCTGGAAGGCAAACTGGCCAAATCCTCATGGAACTAGATAATTCATTTTTATAGGACTCAATGTGAAATTCTATACTTATTACTGT